TTGCTACTGAATTCATTCTTGCGCTGTTGAATAAGAGATAAAAATGAGAGCGAACTAAATGGACGACATTAGGGTTGCCAGATATTTGTCAAGTAATTATGGATTCACCGATACTTTCTTTACACGTGGTAGAAGCGAAAAAAAAAGGGGGGGGGAATCTAGAAATTCCAGAATTTAGTTCTATATGCAATCACGTTTTACTAGTATGTATAGTGATATTTATTGTACTAGTATTTTACTAGTACTTTTCTGATGTTTTACTATGTATTAGCTATTAAAAACCATTTAGTGAAGTATTCTGGGCGGGAAAATTAAATAATTGCGCAAGTTTCAAAATATTTTTTTTTTTTTTTTTTTTTTTTCAAAATTTTATCGCAAAGATTATTTATTCAGTTGCTAAACAAATCTTTAAATCTATATTCAGACTTTAATTCCCATAAAATGTTTTGCATAGCAACATAATGTTGTAAATGCATATACATGAAGGGTAAAAAATTTACACAGGAATTGATATAATAATAAATTAAATCTTTTACCTGTTTAGAAATATTATTTCAAGGTTATTTTTAAGAAATTTTTTACTATAAATAGAGTAGTGAGTATTATTGATTTCCTATTTAAACCGAAAATAATCAAAAATGAGTTAAATTTGATACATAATTATTAATATTATAAATTTATCTATTTAAATTATTATACTAAATATTTCACAAAGAAATGTGAACCGTTTCTGGTTTTTTAAATGTAGATATGAAATGAATTAATTTGTACCCATGTGTGCATTAATAAAATACTTGGAAATTTATCAAGAAAATCAATACTTTTAAAAATATGCTTTTATTTTCCTTATCTCTACTATTTTAGATCAGTGGTCTCAAAATGGTAGCCCTCGAAGTAATTTTATGCGATGGATGATTACATTTGAATTATGTATTTGCAAAACTGTATGTATTTGTTGTTGTAAAGCTGTACGGCAAAGATTTTAATTATTTGTTTGCATTTTTATGAATTTATAATGTTTTCATTACCCTTAATAATTAAGTTGAATAATTCACCAGAAAATTTATAAATGGATGTAATTAATTTACTGCGTAATATAAATTTTATTCAAAGATTCACCAGAAAATTTATAAATGGATGTAATTAATTTACTGCGTGATATAAATTTTTTTATTCAACGATTTCAAGATGCAGAATTGACTAACTTTCATACGTACTTTTCAAAAAATAAGCATGCTAAGTTAAGAATTTTTGCCCTAAGAATAATCGCATTGTTTAGGAATACGTTTATTTGTGAATAACGTTTTTTCACAGTTTAAAATTAATAAGGATCCAAATGACCGATGAGCATTTACAATCCATGATGAAAATAATTTCTAATTATTCTCTCCAGTACATGTAAATTAACAAATTTTATATTTAAATATAAAATTTATACTTATTTTTATACAAATACATGTATTTTAATTTATGTTCCAAAGAAAAATTTAATAAATAAAAGGTTGTTATTATTTATTGAGGTTTTTGCTCTTATTAAAACATTATTCTCAAGTTTTATTATTATTCTCCAATTTTACCAAACTTAGAAAGTTTAAATATATATTTCTTTATTTTGATTAAAGTAAATTATTAAATTATTAACTAAATTTAGTTTATTAGAATATTTGAAAAAAATATCACTGTCTTATATATTAATATTTAGCTATCAATATGTTTATATTACAAAATATAATCAACAAATCCCTTGCAGGTACCAAACTTTAAATCTCAGCTGGAAAATAAATATAAATTTGAATTTCCCCTTCCCGGTAAAAATTTCATATCGCTAAAACAAATTCTAGCCCGTCAGCTGTTTTCAGATAGTGCAATCGGCACGCATGTAATACGAGTCTGAGACAGCTGTTTTAGATTAAAAGAAATCCTCTAGATTCATTTCTGTTAAGTTTATTTAATTTCATGATAGATTGGTAAATGCTGTAGTCAAAGCAATACATTTAGACGCTGAAGAGTTGTGGTAAATTTTCAGAAGTACCATAATAAAATTCTTCTGAATTTTAAATGATATAAGAAATATAGAGTCTTAATATTTAGCTCAAAATATAATGCCGTATATTTCGTTGAAGTTACAAAAATTAATAAATCTTTCAGTGAGCAATTGATTTGAAATACGTAATGTAATGCAGTGTAATGCAGATGAAGCATTAAAATATTCAATAATCTGTGCCCAAGTCTAATGCTTATTATATCTGAAGAAGTTTTAAAGGTAGTTATTTTCTATAAACCCTCGCAGACAATCGCAACTTTTCCATCAGTCAAAAGAGGAAAGAAAAGTCAAAGCAATGAATTATACAAACTTTTTAGTATTTAAAATACATCACAAACTAAACTGCAGCGAATACTTGCAAAGTATAAGAGAAAAATCATATGAAATAGCAAATGATATCTAAAATGTGAAAGGTTACAACTTGGTATTAAATCATTACTTCCAAAAAACTATATTCAAGCTGATTACCTGTGGTGGTGAAATCTGAGCTCTTCCATTATCTTTAGGGAAAGAGAAACACTGAACGCGATTCAAAGGATCTTTCTATTAACTATAACAAAAGGTATAGAAATACATCAAATTTTGTCATAAGTGTGCTGTCCGTAATTTGCCCTCTGCCTATCTTCTCGCCCTCTAGAAAACCCATACAAAAGCAATAATTTTTTAATTGCAAAAAAATATGCCCTCTGCTATGACATTCGAAAAAGCGATTTCGAAGGATCAGGACATTCATATTCTTGCTTTGTTCGTATAGTATGAAGTAACATAAAAATCAACAAGAAGGAAAATAAAATCAGTGAAATATTCTCATCGGTGTTTATAGACGACTCAAGAATTGATAACGGATTTGAATTAACATATGAATTATTTGAATTTCGAAGGATCAGGACATTCATATTCGTGCTTTGTTCGTGTAGTATGATGTAACATATAAATCAACAAGAAGGAAAATAAAATCAGTGAAATATTCTCATCGGTGTTTATAAACGACTCAAGAATTGATAACGGAGTTGAATTAACATATGAATTATTTGATTCACCACAGCAATTAATACCACTTAAAGGTCACTTTTTGCTAAAGAATGATATATTTCAAATGGAATGATGCGCAAGTTAATATGCTGTAATTCATAGTAATGAAAAGGAAATTAAAATATACTCCTACTACTCATCAGCATTACTTGCAACTTCCAACAATCTACATAAATCTCCACTATTCCAAGAAATTACAGAACTCTCTTGCAGCAACCCAAATCTAACAATCCAAATAAACTAGGGACCATGCAGGAAACATAAATAATGAAACCTCTGACTAATATGCAAGAGCAGCAGCAAATAATATTTAAGCAAATAAATTAAATGCTAAAGAGTCAACCTCTCACATTCAGAAACATACCAATAAAGCTTAAGAGATTACTATATATAGAATATTGGAATACTGCGTCCAAGACACAAGGTTTTATAAAGTAATTTCGCAAGTAGATGAAATGAGGAGGATAGAAAGCTGATTTATAAACTTGTTTTTAAAGGGTCACATGCTTTTTTCTGCAGTGAGATATCTCAAGCACCGGCTTTTACAGATGTGAGGAAAGGGATGACTTAGAATATTACCCAACACTGAGAACTTAATCCAATTTTCATATTAAACTACCAGAAGAATGTGTTTATCCTTATTTAAAATATGGAATATAAACGAAACACTTGAGAATTAAAATAATAAAAATGATTAAATATATATTTCAAAATAGTGTGAAAATGTGCTTAGTCGCTTAGAAACTAATCAAATAGCCTTAAAAATGAAAATTCTAGCAATTAAAATGTCTATAAAGCCTTATCAAAAGAAACATAGCACAAAAGCGCATTACATATACCTTCCCCATATACCACGTCCAACTTCACTTTCAAAAATCTAAGATGTATCAACAGTGCATGTAAATTAATTACTTATCTCAATTATGTATCAGTAAAATGTACATGCATATCCAGTGGTTCTACTATATTCACAAAATAATGCATATAGGTATCTGTGTAATAGAATAATGTGTTAAACATTTAATGTGTATGTGACTTGGGTGTTAAAACAGTCTACCGAAGAACGCAGAAAAGTCAACTTAATACATTATAGCATCAGATGTATTCCATTAGCATATGAAAGACAAGGGTAACTCTGTAATAGCATGAATGCTTTTTTTAACATCAATAAAATGTATGCTTTTTTTATGTATGCTTTTTTTAACATCAATAAAAATTGTAGTTAGTGCGTTGAGATAATACTCGGTGACTCCCAAAAATATCTATTATTACCGGACCTTATTTGAACAAGAAGCGGAATCTTCATTGTCATCTTTGATGCATGAGTTCTTGCACAGGAGAACAAAGATTCTGACAAAGTGTTGACGACTGATTAAGGTACTGAAGGCCAGTGACCAGCTTGTATTCATTAAGACTTTGCTGAGCCAGCTACCACTACTCTTTTGTTGTGTTATCTATTATCTAAAGCTAAAACCACAGCTTTTTTATTATTTCTTTTTCCATAACGTAAAGTCCAAAACACTGCGTAATATTTCCATGCAAATAAGAAAGGAACTAGACAGTTACAAAAACATGCTTCCACTCCTTAAAATAATCTCTTTTTCATAGTTACTGCCTTGCAGAGTTCTCCTAGCCTGAATATATAATTATACAGACATAACCATTTGTTCAAAACAAAATTTAAAAATACTTATAGAAGGTAACACAAACTAAAGATAATATCATTTGTTGAGTCTGTTAATTTGAAAATTGTGCTGTAAGCTTCAGAACAACAAATGGCAACATATTTCAATAAAAATACAAAATTGCTGAGAATTCCTCTGTTATAAATCAATAACTAGTTTTAACTTTCTACGGTAGTCTTAGAAAGTCTAGTATGTGATTTAGTTAATAACGCTGAGAAAGAGACGAAGTAATTACTAACCTAGTTCCTCCTTTAGGCGTCTATAAGCTAAATTGTAAGTGCCTATTCCTCTCGGCAGTCCACTGAGGTATAGATGGATTGCATTATGGATTTCATCTTTCGAAGCAGGCTTAAACAAGCTGATGTCTCCACAAACTTTATAGAAGGCTTTAATGCATTGATTCAAGGATTCAAGAAGATTATTGACCTATAATAGTGGGATAAAAAAAGAATGTTTATTTTAGTATAACTTATAAGGTATATCTCCCGCTTTCCTAGCGTGCCTTAGTGGTGTAGTGGTTCTGAACACTGGGCCGGTATCCAGAGGTCCATGGTTCGATTCGCGTCGAAGCCGGTTGCTAATTTTTCATCTCTTCTGCTTCCAAAAATTACCTAATGCCTCTACAAACTTAGGATGGCTGGTTTATTTTTAGAAGATGAATACTTTAAGGGAAAAGAAATAATTCTTATACAATTAATATTATTTAAGAAGAGCATATTTTGCAATCTTTCTGTTATCCGGTTTCTCAAGAAATTCTGATTACAAAAATTTCACACTAGTATTATTTATACTACATAAATTTTCGAAGACTAGCTTGGAATGTGCACCATGTCTTGCAAAAGGAAAATATTTTTATAAATCAAGGTAGATATTTCATATGTAGTCAAATACCTGCTCTAAAAATTATGTCAAAAAATCTCATGATATGTTTTTTAATATTTTAAACGAAGGAAGTAATATATGCTAACACTGTGAATTCTTCAAGAAAAAATATTTAAAGCAGCCTCTGCTATCATTGAATTTGATTATAAAAGAAATGAATTTTACAGATAAATATATGAGATATTTCAACAATTTTTAAAATCATAATTGATATCTCTCATTTTATGAGGAAAGAAATTTTCGGAATTAAAAGTCTTATTTAGTACCAGAATAACAAACTTTTACGTAAATTTTTTAAATAACTATTAAAAATTTGTCTAAACTAGCGGCAAATGCCTTCTGTTATCGAATAAAAAAGTATTTTTATAAGACTTATCAACAGAAAGCAATATGCTACACACCCTTTCAAAACAGTGAACAGGCACATACTAAAATTAACGCTATGTGTCTATATAAAAAAATCATAATAGGTATAAGAAGAACAGATACGAAGTCCACGAAAATACACAATAATAATAATAATAAATACTAATCTTCAATAAGTTCATTAAAAATTAAGTTGCAAGCTAATCTTTAATGTATTTATTGAAATAGTGAAAATGTTTATTCATAGTAAAAACTGTGAATAATGAAGTATAGATAATAAACATTCCAAAGTTTCACGCTCTAAGAGACGTACATTCGGCAAGGAATGAGGGGGTGAGAATTCGATACCTTAGTTATTACTGTAGTTATCAACTGTGTGAGAATTTCGAAATCTTTAAACAGTCGGCAACGATAAATTTTGTTATAGTGGTGGCTAAATTCTGTCATTTGTCTTACAGATTAATATCTGTGCTTAGAATGGAACCATTTACTACAGAAAATATGCAACACTTTCGGTTAAACAATATTTTTAAAGTAACAATACATAATTTTAAAGTACTAATATGTACTAATGTTTCATTTATTTATGTAACTTAGTAATACAGCATGTAAAATTTATTTATATTTTATTTCCTGGGATGTTGTGAATGACTTTTAACATTTGCCCAAAAGAGTTCATTTAAAGTTTAATAAGGTTAAATTAGCAGAGATTATGAATAGAAATGGCCCAGGTGGAAAACCGATATATTTATAGGATACTAAATGAATACATATTTCGAGTAACATGGGAATGTTATATATCTTATGTATATTTGAAAAGTGAAAAAATATACAACTGTAATTCTGTAAAAGTATTTAATAGTTTTATTTATTTATACCATGAATTAAATTCATTTTCATTTAACTGAATTAGATTCAATAGCAGACAAATTAAATTCGAAAGATAATTTTTTTACATTTTGCTGAATAGCAACTGACCAAAATGAAAAGTGAAACAGCGCACTAAAACAAACAACATAAAACTGATTTTCGAGACTAATAGCCTGTTTGGGCTAAATGCTTTAATAGCTCATATCAAGTACTAACATATGGTAAATATAACAAAAACTTTAATATAATTGCTACCTAAAATGTAATATTGGTTTTTGTACTTGAATATATATATCTTTTATTTCTTTTACTATATTCTATGTCACTCGTCAATATTTATTCAACTTGTAAAATGCTTTACAGTGAATTACATTTGTTTAGAATTATACTGAAGCTTGATTATCAATTCAGTAAGGTAGTGTTGTATAATGTACGTTAGTAGCTAATAAAAAATACAGATCCATGCATGTAAAAACAAATTGACAAAAATTTCTAAAACATATGGTAAAACAAGTTTCCCTGCATGTCGTGTTATAGTTGATAAGAATTATCTGCACTAAATCATTTTCGTTCCTCATAATGTATCATCTTTAGTGAATAATAACTGCTCTATAGAAATTCATATAAATATTCCTACAATTTATGATTCAAATATATTAACTATAATTCTTAATTTAAAAGCATTTAAGTCAATTGAAATATTTATTGGAAGAAAAGAAATATTATTAACAAGTCAATTTAAGAGAATATAACAGTTATTTTGAAATTCTGTGCTCAATGACCATATTTACAAAATAATAATAATAATAGTGTTAAATAAAATGTCTAAAACCTATCTTACGCGTTCTTCATCTTCTTCTTCAAAAATTGTCATAGTTTCAGTTACCCATCGCATCATGCTGACTTTAGTGACTTTAGCATCATCGAACATTTCATCCAAGGTCTCCAAGTCTTTTAACATTTCACTAAAAATACGAGAGTTACATATTGTTACAAATTTTGTTTACATATGTAAATAATTGTAGTGAAATTCTAGTATTTTTTACATAATGTAACATGACAAGTCTGACCAGAATGAAGCGCTGTCGTAAAAATAAGATTACAGAGCAAATCTATTTAACAATGAGATAAATAGCTATTTCAGTACATTGTCAAGATATCGCTAAGCTGACAATGATTTGTGCGGTTACTTTTGTCGCCAAATTTGGTGAGAAATTACCAAAAGTTGCCAAATTTGACGATGTTTCAGTACGGTCCCTGTATAATTGCAATTGATACTGTGATTGAATAACTGTAATTGATCCCTATATATAACTGTAACCGTATCCGGTCTTTATACGTAACTTTAACCCTATATGCCTTCCCATAATTTCGAGAAACTGAAGGTACTTGAGATTTCTTAATGGCCGGAAAAGAACTCTTCAAGACAGGCGACAGCATCAGTTCTCAGTTTTTTAGTTCAGAGGTGACCTCGGAGTATGATATCTGTGTGTGATTGACAAAAATTTCTCTTTGGATGTGCTTTGCATTGCGTTGTGTTGAATGTTATTAGTAGTTTGAAGTGGTAACTATTGATTGTGCTCGGTCCTACTGAGAAGAGCTATACAAGTACATTTGTGAAAAGTTCCGGAACTGTAAAGTGTTTCTTTTGATAAAATAACTTTTATCAAGCTATCATCAGTTCTGTGTGCATTCAGTCGATTACAAACTCGTACGCACGCAACGATATAAAATCAAAATAAAGAAACTATATTACAGCGCTTCAAGTTACGACTGGGAACGCTTTAGTAAATTCCTGTACACCATACATTTAAAAGTCCTTCAGTGGCTTGTATTATCGCAGCATTTGTCATAGACATATACTTCTAAATATAAAAAGGCTTTAAAGGAGGAAACTATTGGTGTTAGGACGTATTTGAGCTTAAATAATCGATTCTTAAAATATTATGAAAGGTAATTTTTTATACGCGTGCCTAATCTCTACAGTTATATTTAGCAAACGTTTGCATTCATTCTAGAAAATAAAGCACAGATATATTTAATTTTAAAATATAAGATGATGTTTAGGGCTCAAGAGCGAAATATTTAAAACTGTATAAGACTAAAAATGAAATATCAGTTCAGATAAGCATTTCTAATATTAGAAGACCAAGTGACGAGCATTATTATGCGGATTGTCATGAAAAGTTACGTTCAATACAATTCTTTTTCAAAAGACACATTTTATTCGCAGAATAAAATTTTATAGACAGTATTCAGTATTGACATGCAGCCAGTTCATAACATAATTTGAAAATGAAAAATTATTCATAGTTAAAAATGAAAAATAATTCTGTTTAATGAATTTTTTGTATGATTATAAGAATATGGTTCTGACATTATAAAACTGCATGAAAAATTGTATTTTTTGCATCTGGAAACTTACGAATTACTTTCATGAAAGTCGTTTCAGCACACCTTATGTGATATTAATATAAATTAAAGAATATTACACCCAGGTAATCACTGAATGATGTTAAAAGAAAAAAAAATCAACCTCTAATTATTCTAATTTATTTTTTAACCAACTCCTCAAGAAAAGCCAAAAAAAAGGTGACCAAAATCCCAAATTTTGAAATTAAATAATTCGAAATTTTGTCATTTGCCAAATTCTTCGTCCTTTATGTCTTAGAATGAATATAAACTCTTACTAAATACAGAGACCTAGAGATCATTTAAAATGCTACGTCGTTTTAATTTTTTTTAAGATTAAAATTGCCAAAACATGAAATCTTTCTTCACTTGAAACATTTTATAACTTGAGCACAAAATACTGTGGAACGCATCGCGAGAGATAGAATAATGTATCACTAAACAAATCCTAATTGAAGCGTTTTAAACTTATAATACGAGGGCAATCCCAAAAAAAAGGTCTCCTATTTTTTGGACTTTCTCTACATCCCCAAAAAAAGGTCTCCTATTTTTTGGGGATGTAGAGAAAGTTTTAATACTGTTGTTGGCAACACTTGTGAATGGTGCTTTCTCCACTACCACATAAGCACGCAGGCGCTTCGCTCGGATGCTCAGTCTTGGCTTAGCAGCCATTCGAAATAGAGCTCCCAATAAACGTTACCGCCAAGTGCGAAGTGCGCGCAGTTATTCGATTTTTGAATGCAAAAGGCGTTAAACTGGTTGAAATTCAACGCCTATTGACGGAAGTGTATGGACAGTCGTGCATGGATGTCAAAAATGTTCGCAAGTGCTATAGAGAGTTTACAGCCGGTCGTACTGAAATTCATAACGAAGAAAGGCGCGGGAGGCCGTCAATTGCCGACGAGACAATCGCAAAAGTTAAGGAACTCGTGCGTAAAGATCGGAGGATCACTCTGGATGCTATCTGCATTTTTGGTTCCTGAGGTTTTCAGAAGCACCATCCACAGGATTTTAACGGAAAAGTTGCAATATCGGAAGGTGTGTGCAAGATGGGTGCCGCGTATGTTGACAGAAGACCACAAACAACAACGGGTTGATTCTTCCCGCGAATTTCTTCGCCACTATGGAGACGAAAAGGACAACTTCTTGGACTTCTTGGAAAGATGAGAGTCAACACTTCCTGAAGGGCATGGCGGAAGCTGGTATGACATGGGCATTGTAAAACTGCCACAGCGTCTACAAAAATGCATCGATTGAAATGGCGATTATGTTGAAAAATAAAGCATTCTTCAATCTTTAAAGAGATGTAGCAATTATAGAAAATAAACGTTTCTTTGTATATCTAAAAATATAGAAGATCTTTTTTGGGGGGATTGCCCACGTATTAGCGTTTAAAACACGTATATCAAGAAAAATATTTGATTTACTGTATACTTTTATACGTAATACAAACGAGCATGTAGTTTTATTATCACTCATTATTCTTCACTGAAATATGCTCAATAGTTTATGACCACCGTGCATATCTTCTGAACAAAATCATAGATGTCAGAATATGTAAGGAAAACGTGACACTTATGATACGTCTTTTTCGCAAAATCATCACGCTGTATTCTGTACAATAATTTGATTCTTTCCACTTACTTGCTTTGTTTTACAGTGGAGTACTTTTTATCTAATTCGTTCAAGGGCTTCAGAGTCATGAATAAGGGCTGTCCTAATTTTCCAACGTCTGACGGGAACTTCTTGATGGCACTAATTAGAGTTTCCGGAGATGATATGAATTCTTTGATAGGTGCTGTAGAGTAGACATTTGTGCTGATTTTAACCTTCCCACGAATATCTTTATTTTCTTGAATGGCGGCCATGGCTTTGTTCCATCGATCTTCAAAAAAATATGCATTCAATTTTATAACCAAGGGAATACTACCATATGAGTATAAACTAATTATTTAGAGATTTAAATGTTTATTAGTTAACATCTTAAAAAAGCTGGAAAATTTATGTATCTGCCAAGTAAAACAGCTCTTGCTGAATCATATTTTCTAAAGGTAATTGAAAATTGTGTTTTTCTCAGTTATAACTTATTTATTGAATCTTATTTGTGAGTAGCAAAATAGTTTCTTATTAATAAAATTATTATTAATAAAAGCATTTTATTAATAATAATTTTATTAATAAGAAACTTATTAATAAAAGCAAAAAAGTTTCTTATTAATAAAAGCAAAAACTTGTGCTACAAGATTTTTGTAAAGAATATAGGTCTGCAAATTTTGTTGTAACAACTGAAAACGTTCAAAAAGAAAAGTTTATTTCCCTAAATTTTCGATTATATAAATTAGGTTAGGTTATTTTACCGTAGCAAAGTTCTCTCTAGCTCTTTATCTAAAGGAGGAATAACTTGGTAGAGATTTTCTAAAGAAAATTGCTTCATATTTTAAGGCTAACATGGGAACAAATCACGAAAACGTCCACGCAGCTAGTCCATTTGCTGAGATTGCACCTGATACGAAGTGTCCACTAGATCGAATATAAGCCTCTTTCGAATAGATAGTTTAGGTTAGGGTAGGTTATGTAATTAAGTCAAAGCGCAAGATGGCTGTCTGCCATTGAGAAAGGATATCTTCGTGAAAGCTTTTCTAGAGAAAACTGGCTCTTATTCACGTTACACATGGGCAAAACTCTAAACCCAACCAGCCAGCCAGCCCGTTCACATCCGGATAGAATTCTCAACATTCAATTTTAACCACTCGACCACTGGTGAGGTTTGTTCAAATAGAAAATTCAAGCGTAATAAAAAAATTTAAATAGGAATGCAGTTTGTTTATAGGGATGTTTCAGTAGCCTTTCATCGCTGTTAAAATGAAATAGTCTTGAAATAACCGTGATTATGCCTTAACATCAATGCCTTAAAGTTTCTTTATAGACAATATTACTATACTATGTTTTTCTTCGGCTGTTGTTTCAGATACAATAGTTCCCAAAAGTTTTCGTACACTTTAAGAATTTGTAGAAAAGACGATGTAGCCTGGAACTGAATTCGAATATAAAGCTCAGTATTTTTTCTTGTCATCTCCATTCGATTTTGAATAAAACTAAACTTTCTTTAATGCTGACTTATTTTCTTTATCTAAAATTGGAAAATGTAAGGAGCCATAGATGAAACTGGCCACAAAAGAGATCGTACATCTAAAAGTTTTCGTAGAATTTCATAAATAAGATTATTGTCCGACACTTTTTTATTTTTGCATTTTGATGACGTTTAAAACTTCGCTTGGCTTTACTCTGTGCTTGCATACTTCATTATACGAATATTTTAATTAATATTTAAAAATGGGTCGTAGTCATAAGGAAACAACAAACATCATTCGAAAATTGATCATTTTTCCTCATAAGGGTGGAAAATTGTTCCGGGATATCACTAAATTAGTAAATTTATCCCGTTCTACGCTGGCTTTAAAGAAAAAAAAAACCGCATCGAAAATAAAGTAAGAAGAGGTCTTCCGGCAAAGTTAACGCAATATGATCGGAGATTTATAGTCAGAAAATTTGCAAAATGTCCATATTTGGATCCTGTAAAGATTTCTACGAGTTTACTGAAACATTTTCTACTTCAGTTCCACCTGAAACTATTCGACAAGTACTCAGATCAGCTGGATTACATAGGCATTCTACTCGAAGATAATTTTATGTAAGTGTAAAAAATAGAAAGCTCATTCTTTCTTTCGCAAAATCTTCCGCACCGAAGGGCCGAGTTCAAATTCCGGGGAAGGCATGGATCTTTGTAAGCATATATTGCTTGTGCGGCGTGAGGACACTGAAAGTACACGGCTAGCCAAAGCCTCTTAAAAGGTTGATGGTACGGGAAAAGGGGTTGGGACTGAACCCCTAGGATTCAATTAGGACCTCGGAATTTCAATTGAGGTAGAAGCTTAGCATTTAGCAAGGTCTGGAGATACCTATTATACATACATGGAAGCACAAGTGACAGCGTTGCGTTATGCTGTACCTGTACACTTGTTATAAGATCGCTTCCTTCAATGATGATCTTCAATAAAAGGTTCTTTTTATTTTTGCTGAAGTTAGAAAGATATCTATAGATGAGATTCTATATAAAGATATCTATATCATATTTGTAACTTAGATTTTCCTAATAATTTATCTTTCAAATTAAAATAGTACAGCACTTAACTCTCTAGACCACGGGTTCTCAACCGGTGGTACGCAAAGAAGAAAAGTATTTTTAACTATTAAATTCAAAAATTAATACCCCAACATCCTAACTGAGTTTTTTTCTAATACTCGTAAATTTAGGCGATCTGAGCTTTGTTTAAGAAGGGTGGTGGTAGTAGTACTTTGTAGTGGTGGTAATAAAGGTTTTTAATTTATGTTTAGATGGTACGCGTTAGTCAAAAGGTTGAGAACCGCTGATCTAGACAATATAGACGAAATGTGCATATTTCTTTATAACTTCTTTCTTTATTTTATTACTACGTGCATATATATACTACGTTCATCGTCATGTACTATCTAACATATACATATCATGCAATGGGTTTTTTTAATAAATTCATTTTCACGGCCCTCAAAATTATGATTTTTCTATTTGCTTTTATCAGATGAAAAGGTTTTAAACTATATAAATTTTGTCCTTTTTTTCAAATGCCAATATTGCGCAATAGTTCTTTTTTTTTTAATTAGTTTCATTGTTTTGGAAGCAACACCAACGTTCTGTTGCTACTGATTTCGACATCATATGTTTCTTCATATGTTTTCCAATTTAAGATGGAATTGAAGCGCAATCTGCATATTTTTAATGATTATTCTTACCTAGTGTTCCATTTCCCAGCTCGCCAATTACGCCTAATTTTTCTGTTAGAGTGTGCCTTACGGCTCGTACATCGCCTGGAATATCACAGTGAAACCGAAATAGAACTACACACCATCCTCCATACAGCAGAGAATCCACATAATGAGTCTTAGAATTGGGAATTTTGTCTTTCCAGTCGGAAAGTGGGATGGCATCTTTCTTAAGTTGTCTTTTGACCTGAAAAGTGTGAAGCTTAATCAGTTTTGTTGATGGTAACTTTACATATATAGAGTGCAAATGGATGGGAAATTTACCAGTTCAGAATTAATTGTTACCTTCCTTGAAGTAATTCTTTCCAGAGAACTCGTGAGTAAAATTATCTTTAGAGTTTATCATCAAATAGCATTTCAGGAATTTTAGACCCTTATCCAGATTAAAAATCTACTACTTGATGTTAAATAGGAAGAGGCAGATCCTGTTTCAGTTTTCCTTTTTCCGCCTGTCTGAACTTTGGTCAAAGAGTACATAAATTTTAAAAAATCTTTTCTAGAGTCTATCGGAAAAAGTTTAAATTGTTCATCTTATACACACGAGTGAATCAGCCATATATGTATAACTTTAAAGAGAACATAAAGGGAAGAAAAGTGACTTCAGTATGAAAACATTTTATAGCTATAATGCTTCACTTGGTAGGAAACTGAGAAATATTTTCAATACATCTCCATTCAAAACTAAGCAAAAATAATGTATTGTTGAATTTTAATGAGTTTAATAAAATGCGAATAGATTTCCTCACTATCTCAGATGCCACAAAGTAAAATGGCTACGAGAAAAAATATTTGTTTTGTGATTTTTACACTTCAATATGCAAAAAAAGGAAAAAAATAAAATCTGAAAGCTTTTAGATTTTATATTGTTATATTGCACCCAAATGGGTTTTTTTTTTTCATGTACACACACATACACGCTTCGAGAGCACTTGGGCTACCGCCACATTGTGCTAAAAAAATTTAAAAACAGCATAGCTTTAGAAATTCCGATAGACAGTCTCAAGCGCTGGATACAAAAATGTTTCATTCGCTACAGTGTTGCCACTGCTCGCTTTGAAACTGTTGAGCTTTTTAATCAAAATTTCGCTAAAGTTTTACAAAATAGGAAACAAAGAATAAAGCAAATTCCACACTTGGGCTTCCAGGTGCCCATGTTCAGGTGGAGGACTATGTTTTACGAAATTTGATGACTCTAGGTACGGTTGTTTTTTCACAATGCGAGAAACATACATATATCTATATATATGTATATATAAACATATATATATATAGATAGATTCTTCATTATTTAGCTTCTTTAAATATAATACATGGGAATACTATTTGGTGGCAACAATCTGAAAAGTGATTAGAACGTTTAAAGTGATTCGACGCAAAACACCGTTTTGAAACAAGTAGACCTTCTGGGCTATAACGAGCATTTGGGCTAAAAAAGGCTTTGCAATGGTAACCTCTGTAAGTATACGAGTTATGATCGACAGTAGAAATGAAGGCTTCACAACATCGTTCCGTATTTATAATGACAGTGTTAATCACAGAAGAAGCAAACAATTGTCCTTAAAAAAGAGCAGAAATTTAGAAACAGTACACTGTGGAGGAAAGCGGTTTGATTTATGTATCTCTCTAACACGACTCATATACGTTTTGGGGGAGACATTTTTTTACTTGCTGATAATTCTCAATAAACAGCCCTGCAAGCATGCTAGGTTTATCATTAATAAATATGAAACCTTCTTTCCACTGCAACAATAAATGTACATATATCTGGAAGTAAGTTTTCAGCTTGAAAGCGAATGCAATTATTGATCCAACAGAAGACACGTAGTGCTTGGTGGGCATTCACTATTATGCCTATCCACATACCAAGAAGCCACTACTTCATCAACAGTCATTTTAAGAAATCTCAAGTCAAATCCACATTAAAAGACGTTGAGAATTATTCTCGAGATTAAATTGCGAATATTCAGCAAAAACGACGTGTGTTTCATACTTTAACGCTTTTGCTGTGATGTTCGAGGTTTCAACTCAACGAACCAGAGGAGCGCAAGAATTCGACTCGCAATCCAGTGTAAGGAAGCGTGTAAGACACAGTTTATAGAAACATTTCCGCGTCCAGTTTTTGAGCTGTTTGTGATCTACATGCTTTCAATTTTACAAAAAAAAGCAATTACCAGGAGCTAAATCAATCCTCAAACATCCATATCCAAACTTTCTGGAAACCTTCTAATCCCTCTAATAGTGATTAAAAGATACACATACTATGATGCATAATAAATTGTCGCATCATATCGATTTGTTCCCCATCATTATCGCATTCTTAAGTTCCCCTCAAAGCATTCTGTTGCACATATTGATTCCTGCTGTTATTCACTTTTTATACCATGGTTTTCTCAGATTCTATGCAGCACACAAACTTCGCGATTTTAAGTGAGAATTAGTTTGGAACGCCTTTTAAGATATTTCGTTACTACTATGGAACTCATTTTTACACAGTTTTCTTATACATGCTTGGAATCCTGGTCATGGGACAAGGAAACTTGCTAGGAGAAATGGACTTCTTCAACTATATGCCATGTTTGCAATGAGTGTCATTTTAGTTTTGCACATATAAATTTTAATCCTCTATATTAAATTTGGGGTTACTTTTCTATTTGCAACTTATTCTTTTAGAACTATATCTAAATGATAATTTTCTCTACAACTTTCTTATTTATCTGTTTGGCCTAGATAGCTTAAAGAATCTTCCTTATTAGTGTGGATAACCTTAACAAAAAACAAAAAAACAAAAAAAAAAAAAAAACATGCTAGTGACACAAACTATTTAAAAATATTTTCAAAATATTTTTTGAAATAGAATATATAATAGAATGTTTTGAAGTTAAAATATTCGAAAATTTACTAAAAAGCTTAAATAAATGTGTGTAGTAAAAATATAAATTTTGTGATCTTGAATCTAGATACGTATAAAAAAAACGTAACTTTAAATTTTTACCTTTAAATTAAACAATTAAAATGACATCTTCTTGGTGCCGCGACATTAAAAAAAACTAAAGGTAAAACTAACTAAACACTCAAATAATCAAAACCAAAACTTAACTCGTTATATCAAAGGGAAAAAAAAAGAGGAATATCCTCCCTGGTGTTTTTTTAGAATCAAAGATTATTTATCAGACAAAATGTAAAAATACATTTCCGTAACCAATTCCGTAACACGCTATCTATCTCTAAAAAAACTAGATCCACTGACTTTCTTAAAACACATAAATATCTGCACCACTCTAGAGATAGCCACTGAAACACTTTACTTTTAAAATACAACTCAGAACTCTTCAAAACACCAGGGAAAGATAAATCTCACACCAAAGAATTCTAATCACCAATTCATATAAATTAGTTAAGCCGATCGTATAGTCACAAAACTCTAAAAACTGATTTTTCTACTACCCAGGCTCGAATTGAAAATAACCATATTTTCCGCAAGGATCATATGGGTGACCTACAATAGACCACAAGACAAAATTTAAAATAATCATACACTAATTAAATCAATAAACACATTTATTAAATATTCCAAATATTATAATTAAAAATAGCTGGCCAGACTACCCCTACAAAACATAATTTTAAAATTTATTTATTATTTCAATCTCATTGTTAACATTATTCAATTCATTCAAAATAAAATGAAACACCTCACAGTTATTAATCTTTTAAACATGTGCCCAAGAATTTAAGCTCATGACAATTAAACATTAAAAAAAAAACTAACACCTTCTCAACAATTAATTACTCATAACACTTTCTCAACTATTATTTGATTTATTAACAGCAAATATTCGAATTTTAATCTATATAAAAATGTCGGCTAAGACTTTACAACTTAACACTTCCAAAATCCTAATGATTAATTATTAAAATAAAGGCCAAAATGAAAAAGAAAAATTTTAAAAATCACTAACAGAATCCGCGTACACAAGTCTGAGGGACTTAAGGAGCTGCCTGGATACAGTCACAAATCGTCGAAACAATAACGGCCGAAACTTCATCGTTGTCAGGAAAACCGATACTGAAGTCTGTTCAATGGGAAACACAGCGGAAATTTTTATTTCAAAGCACAACGGGAATTATCTCATAGTTCCAGCATTATCCTCCGTCTAGCAGCAATTTAACTCAAAAAAATCAGCCTTTGCTTTTATTTCGAAGTTCCTCTGAAGATAACAGAAGGAGATGGACAACAGGCGACAACAGACCACGGCAGACATCAGGAGATGACGACTTCCCTCTTCCCGTATTTTCCAAAGCAAACAGGAAATTCATGGCGAGCAATTCAGACTCTTCCACAAGTGGAAACTGTCAGAGACATGATTCTCAGTCAAAAGTTACCGGTCAAGGAAAAACGCTGGACCTAGCCCCAGATCTTCAGCCAATTTCACCGAAGTTTAACAGATGGAAGCCCGCGACGAGCTCGGACCGGTTTCCGCGACCATTACCTCGGAGATAAACAATAATAACCGCAACCGCGGTCGCCCACAAGGTGTTCCCGAGCTAATCTCCTCTCAAAGTAGATCAAAACTGGACCAAATATCACAAAAATCTCCCTCCTGCTTTAGTGCAACGGCTTTTGACGCACACAATGTAAACGCCACTAATTCACTATTGGCTCAAATAATTCTAAAATTAAAAATTAGACAATCTTAAGCAAAACTTGAACTCCCTCTAGCCAACTAAAACAGAAGTGATAAAGAAAGACCGAAATTTGAAGAAAATCAGATCCTTCACAAAAATGGCATACCTTTCTTTACCGCGCAACAGAGGAATGTTTCCAACCCATAATTCAGTAAAACTTGCGACACCAGTAAGTAATAAACACGTCAACCAGTTCTCTACTTCAGAAAGGCCGAAATACATTCTCGCCTCTGCACCCTAAACATGTGGTCAACTCCTCGAAAAGAAAAGAGGAAATTGCAAATTGGCAGTCTAACTCCTGACCCCCAAAAGAAGCCGCCTCGTGAGAAACGGAAATACAACCGCGCCCTATATCTCATCTTCAGCTAAACATAAAAATCTTTGCCGTAAACAAACGAAAAGTTTAAACAAAATTAAATATAAAACATTAATTTCTAAATAAGAACATTACAAATTCATTATTCACAGTAAAATAATATAATCAATAAGAATTCCCTACGCGCAGTAAAATAATACGTAATAATTGTACACAACAAAATACACTAGTGTGCAAAACTTAAGCAACAGCAGAGGTTTTTGCCATAACTCCACGAGAAATCAACTGAGAGACATGAAATGCAGAAATGAAGGAGAGTATTGTGTACCTACAGGATGACGAAAGCATCGGAGCTGAAAAAGGAATACAATGTATACGGTATGGAATTAAGCAAAAACAAGCTTTATTGAACGCATAGTATCGTGACTCATGATTGTCTATCCAAGAGGAAGGACAGAAAGCAGATGTTCCTTAATATGGGATATGCCCTTCTCTCACTGCAACGGTTGCTTAGCACCTTTTCCGCATACTCAGAACCAGCTAGTGCAACATTTTTTGCGGTAGGAGTGCCCATTCCTTAATCAACATCTGTTTGACTTGTTGGGTGTTCTCCGGAGGATGTAAACGTGCTGCAATGCGTCTCCCCAAAGCATCCCTCACATGTTCGATGGGATTTAAATCTGGGGAGTACGCTGGCCAATCCATTCGAGTGATATCTTCACTTTCCAGTAGCTCAAGCATCCAGTAGCTCTAGTAACAGCAAGAGTCTGATGTGGCCGTGCATTGTCATCCATTAAAATTAAGTCTGGGCCAATGGCACCTCGGAACAGACGCACATGGGGAAGGAGTACCTCCTCACAATAGCTATCTCCACTCTGTCGAAAACGTGGAGCTCATTTCTCCCATTCAGCAAAATGCCTGCCCAGACAAGAACTCCAGGACCACCGTTAAGGTGTCTTTCCTTGATGTTACTGGGATAAAACCGGGTCCCGACCTCTCTCCAAATCAAAACGCGTTGAGAATCGCTTCTGGTACTGAACCGACTCTCATCCGAAAAGAGGACACGACTCCATTGATCCGTTGTCCAGTTTTTGTGCTCTCTGCACCACTGTAAACGGTGGCGTCGGTGGCCAACTTTCAACGAGAGGCAGCGCTCAGGACGGCGGGCAAATAGGCCCCCTTTGTGAAGGCGTCTGGCCACAGTAAACCGCGACACTTGTCGCCCCGTTGCTGTGCAGAGTTGCTGAGCAATGGCGCTTGCTGACAGCTGTCGGCCTCTTTTCGCCTTCAGGACGATATATCGGTTATCCCCTGCAGTTGTCGTCCTCGGGTGGCCACCACCAACGTTTCTAACAGCTGTTCCTGTGGTTTGGAACGCTTTCCAAGCGCGCGAAACGACACTTTTGTTGATTCCGAACTCTGCAGCTACACTGGTGACAGCCCCTCCTCCAGCTTTCCGATCATTCTTCCACGTGTGAAGTCGACCAGGAGATTTCTTCTAGCCATATTTCACGAACTGACTCAGTAACACTTGCAGCGAATATGTCGAATTGCGTCTCCTTGCTTCCTTTAATTCTACTGTTGAGCAGCGCGCGCCGACATCACGCGTTTTGTGTACGCTCACGTCGCCTCTGACGTTTCGTTCCTGATATTTGCATACGCATGGCGTTTCTACTGACTTACGTGTTCATTGTACTGATCTCCATACCACCTTTTCTGCAATTTCATGGCTATCTGCTAAATTTTTACAATGTTGCTTAAATTTTGCACACCAGTTTAATACATAACATTTTCCATAACATAAGTAAATTCTCCCCCATAATTTAATAACTGCAATAAAGTTCATTGATAAGAAATTGTTTGTCCTATTGGAGATACACTGCAATTTTAAAATGGAGACTCATTACTTACAGCTTACAAAGCTTGCATTTTGAGGATCATCGGATTATTTTTCTCTGCTAAATTCAGTACAATGTATTACTCATCGCTCTCGATGAAGCAAAAATAAAATTCTCAAGGATAAGGTTGGATGATATTAAGAGTAAGTTTTAAGCAATTCTAAATGCAATTACTGCGTAATAAAATCTTACTGTAACTCATTTAACTAGAGCTATTAACTCGATTGCATAATTCCACTCAACTTCTGTCAACCAGACTATTTTACATTAAAAAAAGTAAATATGATTCCGCTGCTTACTTAATTTTAAACCCATATGAATAATTACTTATAATTCTAAGAACTTATGCCTATGCGAAAAGTAATTCATTTCTTATGTTTTTTTTTTAAATCTGATACAAATTTAACACTTTTTTTAGCAAAATAACTGTAAATTTTCAATTACTAAAATTTAAATCTTGCAAATGATAATCTAGGAGATCAATCCTAATTTTTCAATTTTCTTCTTTTTTTTAATTAATTATTATATTTTGTGCATTGTACTTACATATATTTGATAAAGTTGTATGAATTTGTAAGTAGATGTGTAGATCAAATAAAGAAATTATGTGGTAAATATGATAATAAAACAAATAAAATTATTCCCTTTTTTTATAATTCTCTGCTTTTTTTCTTAGTTGTATGAAATGTTACATTTAGCTGTTAACTATCCCAGTTCACATGCATTTGTCACATAGGTTCCCTCACATTTCTGCTTTGTTGAAGTAAAGTCGTTATCGACCAGTTTTGTGAAGTCACGAACTTTTCATTTCATTTTGAACTAGAAACTAATATTTTAGTTGTGCTGTTTTGTTATCTTTCATTTGGCTACAATACTCTTCCTTGCCAAAAAATTCAAAATAATTTTTTAAAAAAAAAAGGAAAGAAAGAAAAGGCAGGAAATTGGATTTATAATTTTAATATTTTACTCGTAACTACGCTACTGAGGCGTGATTTATTTCAGAGAAATCATGATGATAGCTGTCTGCAGGAGTGCTTTTAATTTCAGCTAAAGATTAAACTATCTAATTGGAGTTATAGATTAAATGAAGCAAATAACCTGTCTTTTGCTTAACAAATGCTTAACAAATGGCTTAACAAATGACTAGGCTAGGTTTTGCTTAACAAATTGCTCCAAACTAAGGTAGTACAGAGCCAGCATAAAATAACTTCCCCGATATATGAACCTCCAGCGCCCTATTCGCTCAACCAATAAAAATAAAATTTCAGATACTGTTATTTGAAGCTATGCTCTCGAGATTCTGATGATTTGAAACAACAGAGCTCTCACAGTTATAGTGAAAACATTTCTAAATTTTCCAGTTGCAAAACCTTTCTTTTTTCCTGCACAAATTGATCAGCGAATTGAAAACCATAAACGGCCTACTTGCAAAGAATATGAATTTTCATTTCGATTGGTTGAGCGGATAGGCCACTAACGTTTCATGTACCGTAGACGTTTTTTATAACCACCCTGTATTTCTTAAGAGATAATGATAACGTATTTGAAACATAGCCGAGTGAGAGCGATGTTAAATCTAAACGCGATATTAATAAAAAGTATTTTAGGTAGTTTATTAAAAAGTATTTTAGGTCTTTTTTAAAAAGTACTTTTAGGATTAAAATTTTATTAAAGTTATTAAAAAGTACTTTTAAGATCATGCTTTGTATAGAATTTTTTTTGTCCTCATTCAAGAATTATCATTCTGTTTTTGGATCATTTTCATTAAATATCCATTTTTTACGAATTCCTATTACTAAATTTGTTGAAAAGTTTGAGACATCTGTATAAACAGCCATGAAAAATGTTTAGAACAAATTACAGTGCAAATTTAAAAAACAAGTTACAAAAAGTAAAGAAAATTGCAGTCTTCATGAAAATAATTAGCCTGAAAATTATTTTGTTCTCCTGCTCTGTGAAATAGCTATGCTCTTACGTTAAAGTTATTTCAAACATTAATTATGGATAAGCAATGAATTTTTTATAATTTTAACATAAAAGTGCCCAAATATCATAAAATTCTATTCGTTGCAAATGGAAATTTTCTGTTACTATGTGTGAAAAGTTTTTTGTTTTGGTTAAAATATTTTAAAGCAGAAATCAATTACGAGCTTTGGCTTGAATTTTTATTGCCGTTAAATTTATCATTATCCAAAATTTCTTAAATTCTTTATTTCTAGAGTCATGCATATTTTAGGACATCCTAAAAGCGTCAGTCGTTTCAAGTTATTAAAAATTGTATGTGCATTTTCAAACATATTTATCTATTTTTTTTTTCCTTTGAATTAATCTCAAAAGTACATAACTAAAATAGATAAGTAAAATAGATAAACAGAAGACTACAGCTAAATGCCAAAAATTATATCTTATAATGTAAACTGCCTTTGTAACAGAAGGCAGAAACACCAGACACATTATTTAACAGAAACACCTGAAGTTTTGATGACTTACTCTTTGAAAAAATCTGGATACTTTACCGTTTGATATATTGTTGTCACTGGTACAACAACACTGTTATACTTCCATGATGTATCTTTCAGCACTCCATCTAAGCCCATTGCACCAGAATTAGAAGTCAAAAAGTTGGCTTTGATCCGAAGAACTATATCAATTGGTAGGCCAAAATAATTATAAGGGAATACATCTTCTTGTATCACCTGATATGATGTATTTAAGAAATACATTGATTCCTGTAAAGTGAACAAGTATATCTTTAGAAGTTGGCAATAGATGGCAGCACTAGACATAAATCAATAAACTATTTTACTCTTACTTTATTTTATTAAATCTTATTAATTTCATTTTAAAAGTAAAGCACCATGACCTTAGAAAGCGATTAAGCCCCTTTCATTGCAATTCATGATTCTTTTTCAAAGACACTCGATTAGTCGTTCAAAGCATGTACTAAGTGGTCTAAACAACATGTATCAAGGCAGTGGTCTCAAACTGGCTGTCCTCAAAGCAATTTTGTCGGTCCGAGAATACATTTTCTGTCATTTAATTCGCATTGATACGGTATTAATTATTATGGCAAGAATTTCAGGAAAGGCTTAAGATTTTAATGTTTTGAGTACAGGTTTTCATTTTTTTATTATTTTCATTACCATTAAAAATGAACGTGAATAACGCCTCAGAAAATCTTTAAATAGAGCTATTTAATTTACACTGTCGTATAAATCTCATCTAAGATTTGAAGGTAGAGATTTGATTCAAATTTTTTCTTACTGCTTCAAAGATGAATACGCTGAGTTACGAAGTTTAGATATAAGCGTTTTGTTTGGAAATACATTTATATTTATATGTTCTTTTTTATTATTTACATTGTTCTTGTGTAATACTTGAGCTTGTGTAATGCTTAATCTTTGCAATAATCAATATGTAACAACAACATTTATATGGAACAGTTCCCTGCCTCCTATTATTATGAAAATTAATAATTATTAATTATTATGAAAATTATTATTAATAATAATAATAATGAAAATTATTATTTTTTAAGGTTTATTATTATGAAAATTGATAAGCCTTTAAAAACGTCCAGCACTAATTTGCGATAAAGAGTTTCTAGTAATTTTCCTCCAAGCTAAAAATTTTGTCGAAATTGAAACGCCAGGAGAAGCTGTAGCTGAAAGATGTGATAAGAAATAAAAAAGTTTATAATTATCTACATACAAATGCATGTATTTTTCTGTGCACATCAAAGAAAAATTTAATAAATAAAATAAATTTGTCATTAGTTATTCTTAAATTTTGTTTCACTTAAAAATATCTTGTAATTTGCATATTTTTAGTTTAAACAAGTTGTTTAATCATTGATTCAACACAGTAACTTATTAGAATTACTTGAAATATATGTCAGTCTGAAAATTTAATAATTAGCTATCAACACCCTTGACTTGCAAAGTGTAACCAACAAAAATTTCTTGTAGATCCCAGCCTCTATATTTCAGACAGAAAATAAATATTAATTGGAATTTTTCCTTTCCGTCATTATTAATATTGTTGCGTGCGTACGGGTTCGTTATGAAATGAATGCACAAGTCCGATGAAAAATGAACAAAAATTTATTATTATCACAACAAAAATGCTTAAATTTTCTCAAATTATCATGCAGTATTACAATATCTCACAGTAGTTATCTTTTAACTACTCAAATATCCAATAGAACGTAATTCAAAACAGCTAAAGAACGCTAATCCGCGAATTCGCTACAATTAACAAGAGCAGTTTTCTAAACAACAACAAACTAAGCAAGCAACTACTACGAACTGAGATGTTTTCCTCCTTTTATAAGATTTTAAAATCACGCGCTAGAATTTTCCAGTACTTTCTCGAAATCAAAAAGAGATATTTATTTATTTAACGCACGCGCTCTTGTATTTTTAATTTTTCCGGCTTAGCTTTCTTTTAATATTCGTCACGCGCTGCACTGCGCGAGAAATAAAACCATTTAATTTATAATTGAACTAACATTAGCTTTTTAAATAGCAAATTCGTAACAATATTATTTATGTATTCTTTGATAAGTATTCAGTAAAAAAAAATTTAATTTCTTCAGTTAAAAGTTTTCAAACAAAACTTTTAACTTTTCATTAAACATTTCCTTTCATTTTAACTTAAACAAAACTTTTCATTTTGATAAAAAAAAAAAAAAAAAGAACAAAAAGAACAAAAATTAAGTCCGTCAGCTGAGTTAAAATTGCGCTTTTACCCCGAGTGCGACTTCAGTTTGAAACCACTGCATCGTCAACACAACACAATTGCAATCTATACTACCCTAGTATCCAGCAAGATACGCCTATTATAATATTCTTAATAAATTAAATGATTAACTGAAATATACCAAATTACCCTGATGAAAATATTATTTATTACGTTAATTAGATAATTAGGACACATCGCTAGAAATGTTCGATTTCGTTTCAGCTATTTTTACTACTTCCTTGTACAAAGTAAAGAAAGTATTAACCGCTCCACGATCTGGCACGACACAGAAAGTAAGGGATGCCCTGTGGAGGATTTTCTTAAAAGAAACTGGCTCCTATCCAAATTACATATGATGTAAACCACAAAAATACCTATGCAGCCTGTCCGTTCGCCGGTACTCGAACCACGGACCGCACTACCAGTGTTCAGTGGTTTTCATTTCCTATGTTCTTTCTAATGGATTTGGCTTGTATTTCTTAAGACGTCAAATTATGATTAGAGAAACACTTATCTGAATTTAGGGTGTTAACATGGCTACCTAAGTAATCCGATTACAGTGTCCTGGATAAATATGAGACACTATGCAGTATGCTGGGAAACACAGAAGTCCTAGAAGGAGGAATATAACAGATGATCACTTTGTAGTAAATACTCTGATCATAAACTGAACTTTCTCAGGCTCACGATGTTCATGTCCCGTCATTTTTCTCTAATTTTACATTGAGGAATCATAAAGTATTTGAATGGTATGCAAATGGCATAAGAGGCAGTGGTCATCATCCCTTGATATAAATTACCGTTTTACAAAAAGGAATAGTTCATGCCGAAGGAAGGAGATTGAAAACGTTTTCACAAGTTCTCACCTGCGAAATACCGCCTTTCGCTAATGCTTACTATGGAAAAGAGATACAACTAAAAAAAATTGATTACAACTAAAAATAATACAAAATAAACAATTGAAATTCTTTTTGAAAGCTACTTGTTGTTAATTTACAATATACTGATTAGTTTGCAATTCCAGCATCTGTACGCGAAGCTGCAACATTGTCTGGATTGGATTGTGTAATAATAAATGGGTGTCAAATGTGATAGAAGTGTGTGGTCTAAAAGAAAATATGGAATTAAAGAGTAACTTACCCCAAAGGATGACACTTCAAATAATGTGAATTACGAGAAACTTATTATTATCTTGACATCGTGAAATTTTAAATTAATACTAGTATAAATCAAGAAAACATATCCAGACAGAAGACAATTAACGGCAAACTACTGAAGCAGTAAGAATCAGTCCTACCATTTTGAGTCCTAGCTTTTCGTGCACAAAATGCGTAAAGTTAAATTTTGAATGTTGAATAAATGTGGAGGCTTGCCTGCACAGATTGAAAACCCGTAAAATGTGTATAATTTCTGGACTCCGAGAGTACGTAACGCCATAATGGGAAGGTATCAACATAGAGTTGACAGTTATCAAAATTTAAATCAAATATCATGAATTAAATATTCTCTTGAATCATGTAAATATGCAGAGTTTTAGTTTCGAACTCGATTTATTTAAATTGTTGTTTTCTGTCAGTTTTACTGTTTCATTACTTTTTTTCCATAAAATGCAAATTAGGCTTGTTAGAAGGCATTTGTTTTATATTTGAGCAGCCTGATAGAGGGTTAAGAATTTTTGAACGCTACTTCATCTGGGAATGAGGCACAAGCTCGACACGCAATTCGGAAACTGATTTCACACCTAAGCTAGTGTCGACCTCACCGCTGTTCGATCTTATCCAGGTCGCTAAAAAACGTAATTTAAACAAATTCTTTCCCCTCTTAAGTATGCAGTGCTACTAATTATAAGCCTTGTTTAATGCTGTGCCAGTGTCGACTCTACGCCAGTGTCTATCCTGTATCTACATCGATCGTAAGTCATAGCCATAGTATACCGGCAGATCCCATACTCGTGACGACATTGTGGAGATATAAATGTACATTTATCTCCTTCTTAGTTACAATATAATTATCAAAATTTGTTTTTTATCGTGCTGATCGTAGGCCGATACTTAGTGTATGTGGTATACTTTTGTTGATCTGGTGTTGGTATCGACTCTACGCAATGATGTGCAACTCTGTCCTTCTCTTATGATTTAACCCCTTTCATCATGGCTGTGTCTAACACTGTAAAAAAAAAGTTCGCTCTTTACAGGCAAAAGTTTTGTAAAGTTACAGAACTCAAAAAGTTACAGAAGAATTTCCTGTAATGGTAACAGGTTGAAAGCAAACTGTAGCGGTAACATCTGATTTGCTTGTAACATTACAGATAATGTTTCAGTAGCCGCGCGGAAGAATCACGTGACTGACTGGAAATTAGCCAATCAGGGAGAAAAGTGTTTGAAAGCTAGTTGCAGAAAAAAACATGGCTGAATGCATGTTGGTTGTATAGCGCAGGTAAGTAAGAAAATGTTAACAATTACTACTTGAAATATTTATTGTTCATTTTATGCAGATTATTCTCATGCACTTTGCACTGTTATATGTAGTGAGTAAGTATTTAAACGTTTAAGCTTTGCGATTAATTAATATCAGTGTTCGTAATGTCTAATGAGTTGAAAGAGTGCAAAATATTTATTCCAAATGCAGATCTAATAGTAGTATTTTGTCATTGTGCATCCGATAAATTACGCCTTAAATTGCCCGTATTATTATTTAAAACTAATTATTCCAAAATTTAATCACTGCTTGTGGTATATAATTGAAATGATAATGTGGTTGTTGAAAACAAAACTAAACCATTTAGCGTTCTTTTCCAATCGTCTGACCAAAGAACGTTTGACATCTTTTTCCCGGCAGGCCTTGCGAGAAACGTTTATGTAAACATTTAGAATTCTGAATGTAATGTATATATTTTTTTTGCTTACTAGGTTTAGTTTATTCTTTTTTCTAGGATTACCTGATTAATTATACCTGGTTTATAATTCAGTCTAATATGTTTATGTAC